GGTTTGTTTTACAGTAGTAGATTACCAGAAAAATAAGGAGGAAAGGCCAGATAAAAATAGGAAATTACCTTTGGAAAGAAAGCTAAGGTTTGATTTTTGTTGTTTTTTTGTTGTTTGTTTTTGCTTTTGTCTACTGAAGAAAGTATATGGTGTGTGTAAACATTATTTGGCCGGGCTCATTGTGGGAGCTAGTGTTCATCCAGATTACCTCACTAGACTCTAGATTCTCATTAAGTGCCAAGAAATGTCATCCAATGAACCACTTGAGATTTCATGCTCAAAATTCTGGGTTCTTGGTTTATTTCCATGTTGATCATCTGGAGGAGCTGGCAGTTTTAGACCAGCTAAAGCGACCTAGTCATGAAATTATAGGAAAGTATATAAATTGGGGATTAGTGGGAATAGTGAGATGTTAAATTTTGTGATGCTTCTAATTTTCTTTTCTTTTTACTCTGCTTTTAAAACTGAAAGTGGGTGTGACTGAAAGTACCAGTCAGAGATCAACATTTCAGATTCAGCTACCTATTAAATATCTGGATGTTCTCAGAGCTGGAAGGGCCATTTGAAACCCACTCATAATGTTCCTTATTCTGCAGATCAGAGAGGAAAAGGGGTGTGCCAGGGTCTCAGTCTGGGACAGTGGGGGTCTGATTCCTGACTCTCAGTACGATGCTCTTTTCTCTCAACAAGTGGTTTTTAGCCTGTAGTCTGGTTCAAAGAGAAACTTCTCGAGTGCTGGCCCAGGCTCTGTGAAGCAGCTAAAATGGCCCATGCCGTTTTGTTTGTGTGTGCTTTTGTGCACATTACTAGAGAGAATCCACACTTTCCACGTGTTTCTTACAGAGATTGGTGATGGAGAGAAGCATAAGTACCACCACACTAGGTTTAATACTGTCATTTAAAAGTTACCAGAGTAAGTTAAACCTTGTACATCTCCCATACCTGTACCAGATGCTCCTGGGAAAATTATTTAAGATCCGTGCATAATGGATATATCTTTCAGATGGTTAGGGATAGTTGGAGCACCCAGCAACCACTCATCTTACTATCTGTTTAGAAAAAATTGGCAAGTACTCACATTAAGAACAAGTTGTGATTCAAAAGCAACACACAATAGAGGGCTAATTAGACATTGTTTCTTTCTGTAGCCATTGCAGTAGTTAAGGCAGAGAGAGCTGGGATCTCTACAGATAAAGCCTGTAAACGTGGAGGCTAACTATTTTTTGTGTGTACCACCATCCAATGTGGGTGCCCAGCAGCCTTTTCAGATGGCGTTCCAGGATCCCAGGTTTTGTGTCCTGCAGGACAAGGGCAATGAGAGATCAGACAAATGCTTTGTCTTCACACACGCATACGCATAGGACCCCAGGGAGATAATATTATTATGCTGAGGACAGATACTATCACATCATCAGGTCACTTCCCAAGCAGGTTGCGGGAAGGAATGTAGCTACAGAGGTAAAATACCTCCAGTCTCTTTGGGGGCGGATGAGGACCTATGCCCACCTCCATCAGCCCGGAGATTTCTCCTGATGGCCTCCATTAGACTGTGCCTGTCTTAGGTTGTTCCTTCCTCAAGGAATCTTACCCATTATTGGCTACCAGCCATCTTTTGGGGCCAAACAGGGAGACGCAAGGTGTATGAGCAGTGTCCTCAAAAGGGTCAGTTTAGGGGTAAGCACGGGGGGACAGACAGCTGGACAGCTATGTGGCAACACCAGGCTCCTTTTATCTTGGGGTTCTGTCATCTTCTTGGGTCTTGGAGTCTTTTACTTTTAGCCAGCAGATAGGAAAGTAGGGAGAGTGAAGACACGGTAGGAGATTTTTATGAAAGTCGAATTTCTCACTTCTACCCATAGTCCACTGGCCAGAAATAAGTCACGTGGGCATCTTGATACAAGGATGGTGGTGGTGGTGAGGTTTCTTAGCAACCACTCTGCACTAATGAAGAGGAGCATCAGTCTTCATTGGGCAACTAGTCCTCTCTGCCATGGTCAGAGGGAGCATTTGAAGATTTCTAAATCTCAGAGCTGGATAAAATGCCTGAGGCGAGACCTTCAGACAGTCCATGACATCTGCATGGATTATAATCTTTATTTACCTGACATCCTAAAAATTAAGGTGATCCTCAGGAACTGTGAAGTCAGGATTGATTGAAAAATAGTTAGTGAAGATAGGAAAACTACAATTCATAGGTAATTGGAGATGTTCATTTTTTTTTTCCATGGAGAGACAGAGAGAGTAAGGACCCAATCTGGATTTTGAGCTGTTTTATATTATAATAGAATTTGTATAATTACAGCAAAGAGAACTCTGTTTCCATTTTTGCAAATCCATTGCTACAAGTTTAGCTGTGTTATTGCAAATTTGCTCTTAAAAATGTTTTCATGCTTGGCAGAAGTTATAACAGCACATGCTTTTACCCTATGGTTTTTATTTTTGCTGTGTTGCTTTGTTGCTTCTTGGTTATTTTTATTTGTTTTATACAAGCTTAAACTCTTTCTTCAAATTGTCTTATGATTTTTATTTTGGAACCAGGGTTGGCTATGGTATGAAACTATCATGAATTTCATTCCCATCTTTTTTTTGTTAAGATGCTTTTGATGCCACATAGTATCAGAATTGGTGACCTATGAAATGTATTTCTTCTACCACTTACTATGGAACAACTGTGACAAGAGACTTACTTTCCATTTTCTCATCTCTGAGATTTTATTGGTCCAGTGATCTCCAACTCTCTTGGAAGTAATGTTGAGGGCTAAGTAGCATTTTATGGAGGTTTGAAGTACTTATATGATTCACCCAGTGGTGTGCTGGAACTAGATTATACTAGCCCATGAAAGCCAAAAACTGGAAACTTATTCTAACAACTGATATTATGAAATTAAACATACAAACTCAAAATAAAAGAACTTGTATTAAAAACTCACTATTTCCTAATTTTTGTTATATTTTACTCTTATATATGCTCTTGAGGTTATCATGTCTATTTTGCCCATGTGATGGAAATATTATACAATGGGCGTTATTGCGTCTGTCTTCCCGACTCTGCATTCAGTGATATCACTGAGGCAGCTTGAAGTTGGCCGTGGTGGGTGCTGGTTGCCCACAGGACTCATAATACAGGTCATACTCCTCATAGGGTCATGCAGAAGCTTGAAAAAGACTAATGCCAGGGACATTGTAGATGCACAATAAAGGACAGCTGCTTTTCAGGTCATTCCTTCAGAAAACCTCTGCCATCACCATGGAGCTTAAAATTGACCAGTGTTGCCAGATCATTGCAGTCCAGCAACTCCAAAAGGACACAGAATTTCTTTCTCTTTCTCTAGTCGTAAAGTGGGTTCAGTAATACTTGACTCCATCCCTTTCAGGGATATGTTAGAGGAAAAGAGTCATAACTGATGCAAGACCATTTTGAATAATTAGGGGGCACTCATCCTAAATCTTCTTAAATTGGAGGTTGAGAAGTAGTTTTGCACAGGTTTGCTGATTTGGGCTAGTGATGACTTTGAGAAGAAAATACACTTCTACTTCCCTCCACCCCCGCAATGCTACAGTCCAGAGCTATAACCATGACCGTGATTCCCCAGTGCTGGTCCCTGGCATGTGCACCTTGGTCTGTGACCAGGTCTTCTTAGGCCGCTGGCAAATAAGAACAATGTAATAGGATATGGGCTACAGGTTTCCTGTGTGCTTATCCTGGGAAGGCCAATCTTTTATTGTGGGATTCTGGTCTTCTGACAATTCTTACATTGTTATGTTCCACCTTTATGAAATGACAATGGTAGTAGATGGTAGTGGTGGAGGTAGAGCTAATTTTAATGCCCATACTAGGAAAAAGCTAGAAATTTTGTTGAGTCCCTTCTCCAACACCCAAGTTTTTTTGTTGTTGCTGTCTGTTTGTTTTAATGTTTGTGGTCCCATGAAATGTAAAGGCCTAAAACTATTCCATGTTGACTTGAAATGATTTTTTCTGGGAGCAGGTAAGTCTGTTGGAATTACTCCATAGGTGACTTACAAGTTAAATAAGTCTGAATTGAATTATTTCCATTAGGTGACTTGTATCAGCAGTATGGATATGTGTGAGCACTTCTGTTTACTTCCGTCACTGGCTACTTTCATAAAACTATTGCTAATTATTAGTAACAAAATCAAAGCATGAACCGAAGAAACCTTGTTTGTCTCTTCTCTTCTGCTGGGACAATCTTTTAGTCTTAACAGAACTGTTCTTTTGAGAAGAGGCATGCAAAAAGTGAGCCTTCAAGCTGAAAATTACAGTTATAGTGTTTGCTTTTCACCTGAAGAAATATTCATCACATTCCAGCAGTTCTTGGGTCTCCATCTGGCTTTCACCATTTTTGTCTCCCCTTTAACACTGTTGATATTAATGCCAATTTTAATTTCTTGGCATCATGAGTGCATAAACATATCACACACAGATGTGATTTTGAGCCAGGACTGAAACTGTAAATTAGGAAGCAAGAGATTCACAGGGTTTCATCAAATCAGTTCACTCCAAAAAGTGACACAGTTGCACTGAAAAGGTTTTAAATTGCTCATTTCAAACCTACCTCAGTAGCAAAATGCCATGCGTGCAGCAAGCAGATTTGCAACCACGTTAGTCATTTTCTTTCCTCTGTTTCCTTGCTGTGTTTGCGGAGCACAGAGTAATGTAATTTAGTAAATTATGATTTGATGGCTGGGCAATAACCCCAGTGTTGAGCAGCATTTGGACTCTGATTACTGACTGGCTTTGTCACAGTTGACATTAATTATTGATGGAAGTTTCAGAAATAGCGCATGTGCCAGGAGCTTTTCACCGGAACTCGGGCTCTGCAGGAGGGATGCTAACGAGGGTGGGGGAAGAGGCACCTGTGGCTTGTTTATGTCTGTGCACAGCGAACCTGGACCCGGTGGGCTGTGTGGCACCTGTGTAAAGGTCATGGTGTAACAGGAGAATGAACCGTCAGGCTTATTTCTATCGTGTTCCTCCCCAGGAATTGCACCGAAGAAGCCAACTTCAGCAGGAGCCAGCCAAGACGAAGGCGCTCCAGACTGTCATTGAAATGAAGGTAGGAGCTGCTCACATTTGTCAAAAACAGCGGTGCCTCCGGAGTTTGTTCTGAATGGACGGTGCCTAACAGAAACGTGTGAAATAACGTTGTGTTTTTCCCTGGGCACCCTGGAGAGTGCTTTTCTCTGGATCTTTTTGCCTTCCCGGGTACATTGAATGTATTGGCCCTTTAATTAGGATGCCTTTTCAGAGCAAAAGAATAAAGGGCTCGAGTGTCCCTTGGCTGAAAAGAGCTGAGTTCATTTCCAGAGCATGGCCAGTGCTTTCAATCTTAAGGGAGGTTTTGTGTGTGCTTTCAGAGTAAATTTCTAAAGCTGGAAAAATTATTTTTTCCCCTCTCACTCACATTACAATGAAAATACACCTTGAGAAACTAAGATTTGGCAAAGAGAAGGTGTTTTCTATGTAATGGAGTCATTAAATAATTAAAATGATGCTATCAGCAAAATTTACTTTTCAAAGAATAATACTTTCTCATGACTTCAGTATTTTCTCCTAAATGACTCTGGAAGAAATAGTAATTTTTAAAGTACTTTCCAAGTATCCTGTTTAGCTGTAGAAGCATAGAGGTATGCTATTTAAAAGAATAAAAGATTCCCCTGGATGGATTTAGGGCATTTAAAGAATAGTGAACTAAATGATGATGGACAAGCCATGGTCCATGATTGAAAAACAGAACTAAATGAAACTCTTTATCAGTGCCTAGAAATCTGAAATCTTATTACTTCCAGTTTTTGCCAGAAGGAAGCAAATAGCAGAGTATTTATCTTAAGAATAAATAATTTTTTTATTTAAATTGTTCCATGGAGAAAAGAATAATCCATAATGATGGTTTGCATGATGCCACACTTGAGTTTAACATTCAAGTGTTTGCTGGTTACCATCAGCCCACAATAGAATTCTGAAGCTTGCTGATAGGATCATGGTTTTTCTCTCTTTCTTATAGCACACGATTTTGAATTGTCTGCCAAAAAATTCCCATGTCCTGGGGAAAAATAAATTAATATGAACTATTGAGTTCTTGACATGTACAATTGTGACTTGGGATTTTTTTTTTCTAGTCAATGAGAGTGTCTTCATCCAAGTAGATTTTTGTGGAAATAATATAGAATATTTGCTTTAAAACTATTATATATCGCCCCCGAATGAGGTTACATGAGTCAAGGCACTCATAATGCATTTGCAGCAAATTGGTTTGAAAAATATCGTCAAAGGGATCAAATGCCAATAAGATTAAAAAATAACTGCTAATTTTGGCTCCTCAATTTGTTTTGAATTTATGTAACTTTAGATTATTTTGAAAAGAAACTTATTCTACACCTGAGGGTCAGTGGTTTCATAACTGAGATTTCATCTTTACTTCACATTAGAACCAAACTTGGAACTTGGTTAGGGCTTAAAAAAGAAATGAAAAAATTAAAAACAAAGACAATAAATTTTATTTTAAACATTTTATTTTATTTTATTGCAGAGTCATTCCATCCCCTTTCCACCTGCCTCCTCACCTATATCCCTAGTCTCTAGTGCAATTAGTAAAGGAAAAGAGGATGTATATAAATCCTATTTCCATTATCATTTTGTTTTAAGAGTGTGTTCTAAAAGTCTTTGGGGAAACAAGGAATGACATCTCTTCCAGTACTGTGGGCATTTTCCTGGTAAAGGTCTCTATACGAAGACAATGAGTACCTTTCTGTGACTTATCTATAAATAGAAAATCTGTTTGATTCTGGCTTACTGGTTTTAGCATCATATGTTTTGTTAGAAAACAAAAAATAATAAAAACACTCATTTAGGCTATCTACATGGGAAGGCATAAAAACATGATTTTTAGGGTGTATTCGCATTCATATATTATCAGTATATTGAGTCTGGAGTTTTTCTTTTATGGATGCCAATGATGCTCATTGGTAGAACACATTTTTCAGACAAATGATGAGCAATATATTTGTCAGGGAACTGAGCCTCGAGTTTTTCTGTTGTGTTTTGGATGCCTGCTAATTTACAAAGCATTGCCTTCTGTTTTGTCAGTGGAGAAATCTAGTTTCCACTAGCATCTGTACTTAACATACATAAATTGAGTTATGGAGGCAGCTGGTAGAGGGTCATCTCCTTAGCCATGTGTATAGCTTGTGACAGAGGCTATGATCTCATCTTTTGTACATGACATCCTGGTGAAATTGGAGGGAATATTGGAAACTAATATTTTACAAGCCTTAGGTTTGACTGCCAAATAGAACAAACCCTTCAACTGAGTGGAATTTGAGACACTGTTGTGTTTTAACTTAAACACCTTTGAGTAAATGTCAGTGTCATCTAGTTCTTTGCCAGTCTAAAGTTAAAAGGAGCTTTCCTAGAGTAAATGGGATCTGTAGTTTCAGGGAGATGACACCAATTAAGGGCTTGGAAGTTACCCCTACTTGTCCCTGCTTCTTAGTGAATCTGAAGGTTAACTTTGACCCTTCATCCTCTCCACCTATGGCACTTTCCAGCAACTTGAGAGAGGTGTTGTGAAAATTTGTGAAATCTTGCCCAAATTCAAGCCCTTGTAGAACTACAACCTCCTAGTTCTGGTGACTCCCTACATACCCCTCTGGACTTCTAGAGTTGTGAAAATATATCTCTGTCGGGCTCGTGTCGGGTAGGGCCATTTGCCCACATCAAAGCGGTGGGACAATTTTTTTGCAACCATCCTATCTATTGCCAGTTATTTAAGCCAGGGGAGCCAAAGTCATCTGAGTGAAAATGAAGCAAAATGAATGAAATTATTTGTGATTTATCTTTTTGCAGGAAGCTCCAAGTTTTAATTTTGAGCCCAATTTAGTCTGGCAGGTATGTTCCAGGTTTGAAAAGTGTGTGTGTTTCTCAGAAAAATTAGTTTTCTTGTAGATGTTGCAGTGCTTCTTCTTTGTTTGCTTTTGTGTCTAAAGCTTCTTTACTAAGCTCTTTTTTCTGCTCTTATGGAGAACTGTCAATAAAAATGGCAGTTAAAAGGCTTTTGTCCCTCTTTTTTCTTTCTTTAATGTTAATTCCTTTGAAAGAATGTTTTTAATCTACTTTTATTATAAATTTGACATGACATAAACATGATGTCCAAAAGTTGCATTTTCTTGGGTTCATTCATACAGCTGTATCCAGTTCCCCCCCCCCCAAGGAAAATGAACTACAGTAATGACAGTACTTGTCAGATAATCTCAATTTTTAATCTTTGTCAGTCAGAATTTCTAAATGAATGAAAATCTAATTCAAAATGGCTTAAGCCAACAGGAAATTTATTTGCTCATGTAAATGGCGGGGGGGAAGCATTGCTTCAAGTACAGCTTGATCCAGGGTCTCAAAAGATGTTAACAGATCCCATTTTGTTTCATTCCATCTTTTATTTTGGCTTCCTTTATGTGAGCTCTATTTTCAGACAACCTCTTTCTGCCTGCCTGAACAAGATGGCTGCAGTAGCTCCAACAATCACAGAAGGAAGGACCAAGAAGAAAGTTGCATTTTAAAAAAATTCAAAAGATCAACCAACCTTAGAATAATATAAGTACAAGACAGAGCATAAAACTTCATTCCAACCTTATCTGCTTAAGCTGAACAGAAAATGCATGGCACTCCCTAATTCTCATTTGCTTAATGAATTAAATGGCACTTATTTGTCAAGAAAAACAAACTTTATGGTAGCACTAAATTCAGCAGAATTTATTAAATGGGACATATATGAGTGATGTCAGTGTTTTGGTAAAAGTTGCTGAAAATATACTTGATCTGGTGAACTTGTTAACTAAAGTGGATTAAGAGGCTAGGGGCATAATGTCATCATGTGATGGTATCTCTGTGGCAACTGAAGTGAGGATTGTGGGTATTTAGCTTTCAGGTCACATGACCAGCCAGGGCACTTGTGTGTCATGAATGGTTGGGTCTTCTTTAGTAACCTTGTCCCCACCAGGCTTTTCTTTCTTTCTTTTTTTCTTTTAATAGGGGAATTGGGGGAGGGGGAACAGCCAAGTTGTTGTTCTTCAGCCTTCATTGTGAAGGGCGCCAGTCATCATCTGGCTGCCCGTTGGCAGCTCGTGGCCTCTCAGTTCAATGGTGGCGTAGCCCACCATCGAACAGGCAGCCTGTTGTTAAGAGCGCACTGTTCTATCCGCTGAGCCATCCGGGTGGCAGCTCAGCTCAAGGTGCCGAGTTCAGTCTTAGTTGCGGGTGGATGTAGCCCACCATCGAACAGGCAGCCTTGTTGTTAGGAGCACGTGCTCTCACCAGCTGAGCCATCCTGCCACCTGCTGGCAGTTTAGCAGCAGCTCAGCTCGGGTGCAGCATTACTGGTCCATGTGGGAATCGAACCAGCGGCCCTGTTGCTCAGAGCTTGCATTCTTAAGCTAACTCTTAACCAACTGAGCCACTCGCCCCCCCCCCAACCCCCCACCAGGCTTTTCTTTGGGAACTAAGTAATAAGCAACTCAAGATTAAGCTTGAGTAGATTGCATACTTGTCGTTGTGCAATTGATGAAAGAATATGACTTTGTAGTCAGGTGCTAAACTCTAGTGGTGAGGTTGGTTTTGGTTATTAACATTAAAAACCAAACCTGTCTTTGTGCTCAGGCAGGTGATGACTTTAATTCATGTGGTTGAGCTGATTTGCAAATTGGGTTAAATTTCCCTTAAAAGATATCTTGATGTTTGGTTTAATTCAGCCAATTCAGTTCTGCCAAGCATGGAAGGGATGTGCTGGAACGTGGAGAAGGCAAGAGCTACTACTTGGCAACTTTCCCAAGGTCACACAGCTAGGAAGGGAGAAAATTTGAATCCAAACCTAGGCCATTGAACACATCTCAATTCTCAGTGTGAATTTAATTTGAGTCCTGGGATCTAATATGGAACACCATGAAATAGGTGAAATATTTTCTTTGGCTCTAGGTTTATTTCATCCATCTTTTGAAGTGTTACTTGTTGGAGTCTAAACCCCACACTCTATGTAGAATTATTTCTTCTCCCAGGATAATGTGT